CCCCCCCCAACTTCTTTGATCACCCTGTATAGTGCATAGTCCTCTTATATACTTACCTTGGATAAACGCGAGAGAGTAAGCATCATACTTTTCCACATTGCGAATTTCCATTTGATTTGTGATATTGCCTTCCGCCAGTATCTCTATATAGTCGAACAGGCCAGAGGCTTCTATCACCAACGTGTCGGTACTGGGCAGATATCGCTGTATCGCCATGGCAACTACTCGGCCATCTTGCACACCTGATAAAAGACCAAAGAAAATTGTAGCTTACACATTTAAAGGATGTCTGATCACTGTTTTTAAGAGACAGTCATCAGTCAGACATCAAGACAGACATACAGATATTTAGAAAGGGTAGGCTGTTACAGACATCTGATAGATTGACACATAGACAGCATGACAGATGTAAAAACATTTAGATAGGGAAGGATGTTACAGACATCTGGACAGATCAACATACAGACATTACAGACACAAACATCAGGGCAGACATACAGACATCAAGACAGATTGCAGACATCTGGGCAGACATAGACATCAGGACAGACAGACATCAGGACAGACATATAGACACCTGGACAGACATACAGACATCAAGTCAGACATATCGACACATGGACAGACATCTGTACAGACATACAGACAGCAGGACAGACATCTGGACAGACATACAGACATCTGGACAGACATATAGACATCAGGACAGACATAGACATATGAACAGATATATATACATCAGGACAAATATACAGACATCAGGACAGACATAGACACCTGGACAGACATCATGCAGGACAGACATATAGACATCAGGACAAACATCTGGACAAACATACAGACAACTGGACAGACATACAGACACCAGGACAGACATAGACATATGAACAGACATATAGACATCAGGACAAGCATACAGACATTTGGACAGACATATACACCTATTCAGACATCATGCAGGACAGACATATAGACATCAGGACAAACATCTGGACAAACATACAGACACCTGGACAGACATACAGACATCAGGACAAACATACAGACATCAGGACAGACATAGACACCTGGACAGACATCAAGCAGGACAGACATACAGACATCAGGACAGACATATAGACACATGGACAGATATACAGACATCAGAACAGATGTGCTAAAACTAAAATAAAGATGTATGTAGCAGACATATTTACACGTATTTGGATAAATGCAGTAATTTAATTTAAGACATTTTATCTGGACAAACAGACATACACACAGATGTTCCAAACTTCCTTGCAGTGAAACAGTCTTTGAAAGTAGACCAAACTTGTTGTATTCATTAGGTTGCAGGTGGGAGTCACATTTTCACCATTGGCCTAAACAGCTTTATCAGGTAAATTTACATAACATTAACTAATGGGATAAAAGAAAGAAAAAAACTTTATTCCATGCTTTAAAAGAAAGACTTGAAAATTTGCCTTTAAAGACTTACAGTCTAAATGACTTAAAAAGTTGTACGACTGCTTTAAAAAAAAGGTCTGCTTCAAAAAATAAGCCTTGGCGTATCCCTTACTGAAAATGAGAATAAGTCACCGCTTCAGAAATAAGCCTTGCCACATCCCTTACTGAAAATGAGAATAAGTCACCGCTTATTATCAAAATATTTGGACATTACAGAAATGGTCAACGTACCGTTCATAAAGTTTCGAAGACTTGTGACCTTTGCATTAACATTGCTCTGTTTATTGGAGTCAAGTCTGAGGAAGATGTGACTGAGCGGTAGACCGGTGTTTTCGTCCATCACCGTGACAACCAGACCTGGCTGATACTTCGGGAGCACTGTGATTGACATGTCCTACAAAATGTCATGTCAAGTAAAAGACATTTAGTGTATAATGCATGCGAACCAGTTGCGTAGCAAATCATTTTTCGGATTATCTGTTTACAGACGGTCGAACGTAGCCCCGGAGGAGGGGCTGGAAAATAATAAGTTCTCGTATTCTGGGAACTCCGTTTAGACTTATTGTTAACAAGTAAAACCCGACTTTTTAAATGAATAATAATTAATTTTGTATTTACATTAACTTATGAGATTTTTCAATGTGTATAGACATAACATAACAACACTATTTTATCAGACTAAAATTTTCAAGAAGATTTTTTTTTATTTCTTTCCTTTTTTTAATGATTGATACGGTGGTCCATATTAATCATATAAAACAAGCAAAAAATGATAAATTGTATGATTAAAAAAAAAAACTCTTCTTGAAAATTTTATAAGGTAATAAGAATATGTGTCACCAGGAAACTAATACTTACAGTTTTTTGTTCAAAGTATATGCAGTCCCCGGGGGAACACTTTTCCAGTGTTTTGTCCAGTTTGGTCCAGCCAATCCGTTCCTCACCATGGACTTCCAGCGTCCCTCCGGCCGCCACACCCAGGAACTTCTCATTGAAGTCCGGCACCGAGTAGCTTCCCGGGGCTCCTGTGTGATCAAAAAACGTTCTTAATTCTGGCCTCCTATTACTTCCAAATGTTTATATATATAAGCATCATCGATACTCCAGGGGTAACACTCTCTGTTACGTTCTCTGTGTCACTGGAATATGCCATGACAAAATTGAAGGCGCAGTGTGCGTCACCTTGTGGATGAGACGAGAAGATTGGATGTTCTCCGTCACGTGACGGTAAAATTGACTGGCTTTGAAGTCGGGTGTCGCTCCTCAAACTTCAAAGGACAGATATCAGCCTGGCGACTGGTAAGTTTGTTTTTACCCGAGACCAATCATATAGCTAACCGTTTGCCTTCAATTTTCATATTCCAGAGGCCCTGTAGTATCGAGAGTGCCTTGTGGATAATACAAGAAGACGCGGGGTTGCTTCCTCTGGCCCCGACACCAAGACTTAGACATTTTGACAGATAGGTTGGTATTGGACTTTTATCTGTCAAAATGCGTTAGTCTGGTGTCAGGGCCAGAGGAAACTCAGAAAGCGAAAATAACTGCGCGGCACCATATATATATAATGGTAAAATGTATCGCTTGTAAGTCGCATGTTTCTCCTCCATAATTTTTAAAGGACAGTTATCAAAGTTGCGACTGCAGTTATAGTAACGTGAAACGAAACAAATAGCTTACCCCGCCTTCAATTTCATAATGACATATATAACGAAAGAACGTAAGTGATGTTAAATTATCCCGAGAATTATGGGGATGATAATGTGTAAACTGAATCTGTGTGAAATCGGATCAGTTTATTTTCTTAACCCTTCTGTCATTGTACCAAAGGGATGGCCATACCGGTGGCTTGATAGGGGCAAGTGCTCTCGTCTTCCATAAAGATGGCCGCGTGGCTCGATTCCAATCAGATATTATACAGGTTCACCTTCCCGACCACATGGAGTTTCTCCAGTTAGCCCGTTTCCTCAAATATTGAGACCCGTGTTCACTTTCATCTGGGGCACAAGAGTGATAAATACATAGTTTGTAACTTGTATCATTGTTGTCGTAAAATGGTTGAAATGTGCCCCCGGCACACTGTATTACCTCTATTTTAGCTTGATACGCTGGACAACCAACCAATAAGAACAGATATAAATGTATAGCCTTATGGAACAAGATGTGCTCCCTTTCTAAAATCTGTTGAAGCCGTCAGCGTGGAAGAGTGTCATGTCATGAACATGAGGTAGCGTCCTGCTAGCTCATGTTCATGACATGACACTCTTCCAGGGAAGATTTTGGGATTCCTTCCCATTTTTTCTGAAATTCTGGATATCATTGATTGCTTCTTACTTCAGGGATTACGCTCACTTACGCTCTCTTCACTCCTGTAATATGTCGCAGCAAAATTGAAGGCCCATGTATAGATATGTGATTAGTGTCGTGTAAAAAAAACCTGACCAATCGATCGCTAGTCTGATACATGTCCTTTTAAGATTTCAGAAGAGCGACACCCGTCTACAAAGTAAGTCAATTTACCGTTACGCTACAGCGAAATTTGTTGGATTAACATCAAAGAATCAAACTTTACCACAAGGTGGGCACACACTGAGCCTTGATTTTGTCACGATATGTGATCGTAACCACGGGGATATGATAATTTGCTACTGCTATATTTGGACCTAAACTACGGTGTCATTTTACATGTTTAAGGGGCTTAGATCGACTTTCGGTAAAAATGACACCCACAATGATCATATGTATACGAGAAGGGCGGAAAGCTCGCGATGTCGAAAAGTCGACCCCACTTAACTTTCTGGCATCAAAAACAACTTTTCTAGTTGATCTACGGGAAAATGCTAAGTACCGTTGGAAAGATGGATACTTTTTCTTTTAAAGACCTCTTATATACACGTAAAATGTATTCTCCTTCCGCGGACATGATCTCCGTTTCCTCCAAAAAACACGCCATTTCAGACTTTCAAATGCTTTCGCAGTCATCGTGCCACTGTTTTTAATATTAATGAGGTTGTGGTCGTATATATATATTCATGTGATCGTTGTGGTTGTTATTTTTACCGAAACTCGATCTAAACCCCTAAAATATGTAAAATTACTCTGAACACAGAAGTTAAGGTCCAAATATATCTGTAACAAATGGCTGGATACCATCTACATAATGTTATCTTCAGCATAATCTGATTCCTCAAAACTGAAAAAAATATTAATTCGCAATCTGACGCTATATGAACATTGCTCAATCCCCCCCCCCCCCCCCCCCCC